TAACCAAAACTTGTAAAATGCCTCAGGTAAGTCACAGTAACACGGGATCTTTGTTTAGCGGTAGCTAGAAATTAGATCTGATTTTAATGAGATTGACATTAGACTATTCTTTTGATAATGATAGCAAATATTCCAGTACTATCTCGAGACTCCCGATGGATAATTCTGACTCGATCGCCGAATATCAAGGGCGGCGCCATGTTTGTTTATAAACACTGAAAGTAGTCCCGACTTGACCTTTGATATTTGCATCTCTATCCGCAAATGACCCCAACGGATATCGTTGGCTTTATCCTGCCGAGAAACCTACCCATTACATGGTAATGGTGTATATTACTCTCTAAAGCCTGAGACTTACAAAGTTAATTCCCCTAAACAGACTGTTCGCAATTCATCGAAGGCCGTAGGTTATTCTAAGAATATATGCGCCAATAGAACAATTGACCCCCTTAACATTTACTATCTCAATTTTTATAAACATTTTAAAAATATCTGAATAAATACCATGTTGTATGATGTGATAATTTTGTGCTAATTGTTGTAATTCTGTGATTTTGTTTGTGTTCTTTGTGAAGACAACTCTTTCAGGGGTCGGGGATTAAAAGATTGTGATGAATTACGTAACGTAAACATATGTGTCACAATTATTTTTTGAATAATTATCAAAATACTCACCAGGAGGTAGAGAAAATGTTTTTGTGGAATTTAACCTGTAGACATAGACAATGTATTTTACAACAGAATAGATAATGGGCTAGTTAACGTTGTCATATGCGTTGTTTAATTGTTATGTATGTATTCTGTGTTATCCTGTTGTCATATTTTTTTTAACAATTATCACTTTTGACATTTCTCTTTTCTCTGTAAAGCAAAAAAAATTGTAATTTAGTCGAAAAACTAATTGCCGTATTAAACATCAAACAATAAAACAATCAATTAAAACAATATAATGGTGGAGGGAGACTGCCAACAGTTCCCGTATAACTTGTTATATCACTTGGTTGAAATATCGAGTTAATTTTTTCAAATGAAAAAAATAATACATCTCCAAAAACATAATAATAAAAAAAACAAAAAAACTGAAAAGTTCATAAGTACTAATTATCAAAAAGCCCTTGTTTTATACTACACCCATGAACATATCGACAAAACACGTTGCTTCTTCACCAATTTTAAAGGATAATTGTGTTAATGGCTGCTATCAATGTTGAAGAATTCGTATTTGTCTCTCCCATTCGTCTAATTATAAAACAGTGAATGCATTAAAACACAGATATACCCTAAACACTGACACCAGAATTGGTTATTTGTATTTACACAATCCTTTTTCGTTTTAAAGATGAACAATTAAACAGCCATGTTCATTCCATAATTTATATGCAGCTATTGTTCGTTCAATCGTTTGTGAAATTTACCCAGGGGTTAACTTTGACCAAAGGCTGAACTCACTGTCAATGTTACCAGTACAAGTGATCACAAAACGAACAAATCAAGAGTACTTAAAACGATCGTGGATTGAAATTTAAAAACGCCAGTTTCGTTTTATTCAGGTTCCAAGAGATCCAATTATTTTTCAATGGTTAATCGGCGCTTTTACGCATAACATCATTGAAGCTACGTAGAAATAATCTAATTGCAACTCTGAGAACATAGGTTTAAAGTATACAGATACTCAGATGTTGACAAAGGTCGTATTGACAAACTGCTAGCATCATTATCCGAGATTGTGTGTGTATATTTCAGCCGTAATGAACACCTACTGTCAACTGTCAACACCACGATATTGACACAGGTCGCCGTTCAAGGTCAAGCGGAATGTAGTGAGCTACTTTCGTTTTTCCATAAAAAAAATAGCATCTACCTCCCTCCACACTTTTCAGAAGAAAGTACCTGAGAAATGTTTGTTTTGCATGCAGTTTTAGCTAGAAAGCGTAACGTCAAATATTTGACGAACTAAAGAGAGCACTCCTAAAATGACGTCAAATGAAGCGTTTAACATTTCACCATGAATTAGCTTAACACATTGATTGTAAGCTGGTATTCTTGCGACGAGACAAGACTACAACCCGCTGACGCGTGGAGAAAACAAAAATACAATTAGTTGAAATTAAAAGTATTTTTACAACAGTAAAGTATATCTAACGAAGATGTATATTAACAAATGAATTAAGATATAAGAAAAAGAATTTATGGATGTCAACTTCTTTATTTTGAGGAACACAACGTTTCGGAGTATACACATTCCTTCACATGATGAACGGGTAAGCACATACAGTAAACTACGGTTATAACGAACACGCTTATAACGAACTAACGGATATAACGAACTTACTCTTTTGGTCCCGACTATTAGCTGTATATATGCTTATAACGAACTATGTTGATATATATATATACAGTAAACTACGTTTATAACGAACACGCTTATAACGAACTGACGGATATAACGAACTTACTCTTTTGGTCCCGACTATTTGCTGTAGTTGTGCTGTATATATGCTTATAACGAACTACGGTTATAACGAACTAAAATTAGTAGTCCCTTTGAGTTCGTTATAACCGTAGTTTACTGTACTCCGAAACGTTGTGTTCCTCATTATAAAAAAGTTGACATCCATAAATTCTGTTCCTTGTTTGTATCGCTTCTAAATGCCTTTCAAAGACTTAAATATATGTACCTAAAATTAAGTACACTTTTGGAATCAGAGCATGACATTGATGGAAAAAAATTGTAATATGCTACTCGAAACATGTTAAGGAACACCAACAGTTAGAAAGCTGTGCAATACCCACCAGCAATTAGAGATTAACTGTAGTCATGCTTAACTTCTTTTGAGTAGTATAATTTGAGAGCTATATTTTCTTCTTCGCTTTCTAAAAATGCTCACATTTGTGATCAATTGCATTCATTCTCGACCCGTGAAGATCCGGGGTAGAATAGGTCTTCAGCAACCAATACATGTCGTAAGAGGCGACTAACGGGATCCGGGGGTCAGGCTCGCGGACTTGGTTGATGCATGTCATCGTATCCCAATTGCTGTGATCGATGTTCATGATGTCAAACACTGGATTGTCTGGTCCAGACTCGATTATTTACAGACCACCGTCATAAAGCTGGAGTGAGTGAGTGAGTGAGTTTGGTTTTACGCCGCTTTTAGCAATATTTCAGCAATATCACGGCGGGTGACACCAGAAATGGGCTTCACAAATTGTACCCATGTCGGGATTCGAACCCGGGTCTTCGGCGTGACGAGCGAACGCTTTAACCACTAGGCTACCCGACCTCCCCCTTAAAGCTGGAATATTGCTGAGTGCGGCATTAAACAACTAACAAACAAACTATCACTTAAGGGTCAATCACAAACACACAACAAGGCAAAAGCAAATATACACATGAAAACTGGATTTGACCCAAAAATTACAAACGTTATCAAAACGTTACAGGAGTGAGTGAGTATGTTTTACGCCGCTTTTCGAAGCAATATTTCAGCAATATCACGGCGGGGGACACCAAAAATTGGCTTCACACATTGTATCCATGTCGGGAATCCAACCCGGGTCTTCGGCGTTACGAGCTAACGCTTTAACCACTTGGCTACCCGACCGCCCCACAAAACACAAGGAGATACTCTTATCAAATACATCGCCATCGAAAAAACCCTTTACTTGTTTGTTTTATTTTGCCTCATCAAACATGGGTGAAAACTTTCTTTTGTCCAGCAATTTATTACGAAATAATTTACGGAAACACCATATATAACAAAAAGCAAATGGAACGACACCGTAAATGTCCGATTTTGTTAAAATAACTTTATATTAGCTCCGGGTATGACGAACGCAATTGAACCTTTAATACCACTTCGACATATCCGAATGGCCACTCATTAATTGTCGGCTTAAAAACAACTACCATATTTGGTAGTTTCATTTTTCATCACTTGGTTTAGAATTCCGCAGACCACAAACAGTGTCGAATTTGTGTAGAATGAAATCAAAATCTAGTTCAAGTCATACCGATCGTTTCAAATTAAAAGGGTCCAGTTTTATTTTGACTTCGACCACCGACCTAAAGTATGGTGAACAAGTATCCGATAACCATCTAGTAGAACAAAAGATTTTGAGCAATACTACAGCAATGTAACGGCTGGGGCCCCAGAAATAGGCTTCGCGAATTGTGATTGAGAGAGTGAGTTTGATTTTACGCCGCTTTTAGCAATATTCCAGCAATATCACAATGAGAGACACCAGATACAGGCTTACCAGATTGTACCCATGTGGGGAATCGAACCCGGGTCTTTGGAGTGACGAGCGAACGCTTTAACCACTAGGCTACCCCACCATCCCATATTACGAGTGAGTGAGTCGACTTGGCACAGATAGACCAGCATATGGTAGCGGGGGACATGAGCAAAGGATTCCACGCTTTGGGTGAATCAAACCCGTATCTTCAGTGTAGCAAACGAACACCTTAACCACTAGACTAACCCACTTTCAAATATCACTGTAGTTTGTGTCATGACTGAAATTAAGGTAAGGATACATACATCTTAACTGTATTTGAAGATGTCCGAATCACAACATGGACAGTGGTCAATCTACATTGAAATGGCGGCAACCCGAGAGGCGACTCTGTATATAATTTCAATGGATTTCTATACATTTATATGCCCCGTGAATATCCGTGTTAGAATACACCTCAACAACCCATGCTTGCCGTAAGAGACGACTAACGGGATCAGGTGGTCAGGCTCGCTGACTTGGTTGATTTATGTCATCGTATCCCAAATGCGTGGATCGATGTACGTGATTTCAATCACTGGATTGTCTTGTCCAGATTACTTACAGACCGTATACAGCTGGAATATTAATTGTTAAGTGCGGCGTAAAACAACAAACAAACAAACCAAAAGTGATAAAATTACCTGTAAAAAATTACCACAGCTTGATACAGTTTGCTCAATTAAAAAAACATTTGCAAAACGTTAAGTGATAAAGTTTACCTGCAGTAAGTATCACTATTTGTTGCGTGCTGTTCATGGTCAAAATGCGACCAGCTGTCCGTGCGAACGTCGCGCTAAAACCTGCTACCCCAAACGTTGTTCAGCTGTTTAAAACGTGTACGCGAGTCCCCCCCTGGATTTATAAAGGGGCGATAGAGTCAACATTCACGGCCATAAACCGCCTACAGTAGCAAGCGGTGGATCACGTAAGTAAATAGGTAAGGCAGCATCTGGGAATGATTTGAGCGACGAGTTTTGGGGATTTAAAAACACGACTTGTCTGTTGGTCTCGTTTGTGTTTACCACTGATTTCCTAATTGGCATGGTTTGGTGGTTTGATGACATGGCAAATATGTTATATGGGTTGGTGTTGTTACATGTGTGTGTGAACGTGGTCGTTGGGAATGACGCAGACAGCGGCATCGTCGATATTTGAGGTGATTTCGGTCGGCGCTTCGTGGCTGGGCATGGTGACTTTGTGCTAATCGGAGAGGGGGTGACGTGAATACTAAACTGCTCCCGAGCCGACACCATTGACCACTTCCGGGTCAAACCAGCGGTACATATTGAGTGTAGTCTGGTTTAAACAAATGTACGCATAGTGAGCGAGTGTTGTTTTATGCCGCCTTTAGCCATTTTCCAATCCGAGAGGGAGTGGCGTGAATACTAAACTAGTCCCGCTCCGACGCCATTGACCACTTCCGGGTCTAACTTTGAGTTGGTGAATCTCAAGTGAAAATATTGAATAAGTAAATGTGGTTTATGCCACAACTTTATCGCCTGTTGAGTCTGACCAGTGGACCCGACTTACATTAGTCGAGACCCGTGAAGATCCGGAATGGAATAGGTCTTCAGCAACCCATGCTTGTCGTAAAAGGCGACCATGCTTGTCGTAAGAGGCGACTAACGGGATCGGGTGATCAGGCTCGCTGACTTGGTTGATGCATGTCATCGATCCCAATTGCGTGGATCGATGCTCATAATGTAAATCACTGGATTGTCTGGTCCAGACTCGATTATTGTCTTACCGCCGTCATATAGCTGGAATAGTGCTGAGTGCGGCTTTAAACAACAAACCAAACCAAACCAAACCGCCACCAATGTGCTTAACGATTGTGATCCATGCAATGTGCACAGGGCCACGAACCACCACCTTGTTATTAATTTCCACTCATCAAAACAAAACATTTACTGAATAAAAAAGTGAGGGATCATGAATATTGTTGGTGATGTTGTTTGGAGTGATGACCAAACACACAATTTCATTAAAATATTCCAGAACACATCGATGATCCCTAACTTATTTTGTTCAGTATATTTTGATATCTTCCAGTAAAATATTGACAATACCATGAATAAAATGTTGTCAAGTGAGATTTTAATTAGATGAAAAGCAATATAAATTAGAACATACAAAATACATAGAGATATGTACACACGCACACTCTTTAAACCAAAGCATACGATATTTTTCAAATTGTTGGCATTATTAATAATAATAGTTCCCACAGTCGACAATTTCCCCTTCGTAGCGCCACACCGTGGAACATGGGTTGTCTTTGCAGTAGTAGTTTCTGAAAGGAAAGAACGTTTTAACAAATTGTATGTGTATGTGAAATTACTTCAGCTTAATGATACATTTATCATGACACCCTGATCAATGAATCCTTTTCGTAGACGACTGTGCTTGTCGTAAGAGGCGACTAACGGAATCGGGTGGTCAGACTCACTGACTTAGTTGAAGCATGTCATCGTATCCCAATTGCGTGGATCGATGCTCATGATGTCAACCACTGGATTGTTTGGTCCAGACTCGAGTATTTACAGAGTCTGATACTAATCGTCCAACCTAATCGTTCTGGTTTTCCCAAGCTAACTTATGAATAAGATTTGTATGTTTGTTTGTTTGTTTGTTTGTTTGTTTGTTTGCACTCATCAATATTCCAGCTATATGACCACGGTCGGTTAATTATAGAGTCGACAATAATCGACAATCCAATGCTTGATATCATGAGTATCGATCCACGCAATAGGGATACGAGGACATGCATCAACCAAGTCATCGAGTCTGACCACCCGATCCCGTTAGTCGCCTCTTACGACCAGCATAGTCGCCTTTTATGACAAGTATGGGTGGCTGAAGACCTATTCTACCCCGGATCTTCACGGGTGCACTGAATAAAAACTGGAGGAGGTTGAGGTTGTGTGAGGTTGTGATGCAAACATCACATACCAAGATGTGTATAAAATAAACATTTCAGAAATATTTAGTTTGTTTGTACGTTTGTTTGTTGCAAATTGCACTCAGCAATATTCCAGCTATATGACGGAGGTCTGTAACTGGACGAGTCTGGACCTGACAATTTAGTGATTGATATCATGAGCATCAATCCACGCAAATGGGATACAATGACAAACTTCAACCAAGTCAGCGAACCTGACCGCCTGATCCCGTTAGTCGCCTCTTATGAAAATGAAGAAAAAACTGTTTCTGGATAAAATGAAGTATGAAATATCTTGCGGACTTTATAATTGCATAGATTCGACCTAAAATGTCCTTTTGTATTTTCATAACTATTTTCATGTTTATCATTATTTATATTACTATACAAGACCACTCAATGCTCTTCTCGGCGACAGTCTTCAGCAACCCATGCTTGTCGTAAAAAGACGAGTAACGGGAGAGTAATATGACTGTAGGTTTTCCATCCGACTAAGTTAACTTATAATAAAGATAAATAATGTTATTTTTATTCTAAAAATCAATTATATCAGCATAGTAGGTAAAACGAGATGAAGTGTCAGTCTTAGGATTGCATTTTTTTATCCGAAACCCAAGTTTTAAAGAATGAATGATTGTCACTTTCTCACCCACTCAAAACTCACCCTCCCATTGTAACTCACCCATTCACACCTCAACACACTCACCCACATTTCTACATATTCATCCAGTCATTGTCTAAAACAAATCACTTACTAACCTTCACTCACTCATCCACCCACTCAAAACTCATTCACTAACCCTCACTTACTGATTCATATCCCAACACACTCACTCACTCAAAACTCATTCACTAACCCTCACTCACTGATTCATATCCCAACACACTCACTCACTCAAAACTCATTCACTAACCCTCACTCACTGATTCATATCCCAACACACTCACTCACTCAAAACTCATTCACTAACCCTCACTCACTGATTCATATCCCAGCACACTCACTCACTCACTCACCAAAAATAACCCCTCTAACACTCCCTCATTCACATCCCGACATACTCTCTCACTCACTCACTCACACACTGACTCATATCAAAACATACCCATTCACATCCCAATTCACTCACTCACTCACATCCCGACACACCCACTGATTCACATCCCGACACTCACTCACTCACTCACTCACATCCCGACACTCACTCACTCACTCACATCCCGACACACCCACTGATTCACATCCCGACACTCACTCACTCACTCACTCACATCCCGACACTCACTCACTCACTCACTCACATCCCGACACACCCACTGATTCACATCCCGACACTCACTCACTCACTTCTACCCCGTGTAGACAACTGACCCTCCCTCACCCACTCACATCCCGACACACCCATTGATTCACATCCCGACACTCACTCACTCACTCACTTCTACCCCGTGTAGACAACTGACCCTCCCTCACCCACTCACATTCCAAAACCACCAACTCAAAACTCACTTACTAACCCTAACACACTGACTCACATCCAAACACGCTCACCCAGTCATTAACTCACTCACATCCCGATACACTCACTCACTCACATCCCGATACACTCACTCACTCACATCCCGATACACTCACTCACTCACATCCCGATACACTCACTCACTCACATCCCGATACAATCACTCACTCACATCCCGAGACACTCACTCACTCACATCCCGATACACTCACTCACTCACATCCCGAGACACTCACTCACTCACATCCCGAGACACTCACTCACTCACATCCCGATACACTCACTCACTCACATCCCGATACACTCACTCACTCACATCCCGAGACACACACTGATTCACTAACCCCCACCCCGTGCAGACAACTGACCGGCAGGTGGCTGTAGGGTAGTTATTGCAAAACTCCTCCATCTGACAGGGGGTCACGAAGCACATGGGTATCGTCATCCCCATGCCCGGCTCGCACTCCTCCGTGTCGTGGATGTACTCGTTGTAGGCACACAGGGCCGCAGCTGCAACACCAACATCAACGTCAACGTCGTACACGATTTGGGCGGTCGGGTAGCCTAGTGGTTAAAGCGTTCGCTCGTCATGCCGAAGACCCGGGTTCGATTCCCGACATGGGTACAATGTGTGGAGCCCATTTCTGGTGTCCCCCGCCGTGATATTGCTGGAATATTGCTAAAAGCGGCGTAAAATAACATACTCACTCGTACTCGATTTACAAACTGATAAGTTTCTCGGGAACTGGTATTTTTTTTAATAATTTTTTTTTTTTTTTAAATCCACACGTTTAAATACAAAAGTCTTGTTAACTTGACATGTTTTGTAAAATACACACAAATTCGACTTTACTTCGGGCTTTCCTCCCACATCAATCTCACACGCCGTGATATAACTGAAATACTTTTAAAAGCGGCAGTAAACCCAACTCACTCACTCACAACAGTAGTCGTCCGGAATGAGAGGTTTCCGGATTACACGGGTCCGGAATAGTGTGGGTGAGTGAGTTTGATTTTACGACGCTTTTAGCAATATTCCAGCAATATCACGGAGGGGGACACCAGAAATGGGCTTCACACATTGTACCCATGTCGGGAATCGAACCCGGGTCCGGAATAACGGGGTGTCTTTGTATACGACCAAACCCAACCCGAGAACACCAGCGCATCACGATAATCTACAACGCTGCTACATTAACCTAGTGAAGACACGTGACATTTCGGTTGACCCAGATTCTTGGCGACGAATATAATAGCACGTATTTGTGTGTCATTCGAGATGTATCCATGTAACTTAAACACTGGCGGCGATGGTTATGAGGAAAAACTGGAAAACAAACATACCCCAACATAAAAAAGCCGACAGCAATTTCGGTAAGTATC